CCTCCAAAGAGAAATTCCTGAGTTGTCATTGCTGGAGCCAAGGCCCACAGGTGTGGGCTGTAACTGGTCAGATCCTCTGCAGTAGGACGTGTGCCTGTCTCCAACAAACATGCCTGCACTCATAACCTAAGGGCCCTGCCTGTAAATCAGGGATGGTCTAAACACTCCACCGTAAGCAGCTCACAGGCCACAAGTAGGTGCCTTGGGCTTAATGGACTATAGTGACTAAATGAAAGAGAAGTCTAGGGAGAGTCTTACACATTTGCATGGGGGGGGGGGAGGGAGAAGGGAGGCAGGCACAGGCCACTGGGAGACCAGGGCCCCCCTGTGCCAGGCACTGCCCAAACCCTGACAAGGACCCAGCTCCCTGTCCCAAAGAAGTGGCACCATCACATGAATCGCACAGCACCAGAGGGGCCTCTCTCAGGGCAGCTGCTGGAAACCTGTCAGCAAAACAGTTCAGCCACTAGCTTGTTCAAGGCATACCATCTTGAGACCCTGCCCACCTGCCCACCCACTGGGAGGGTTCTCAGGACCAGCGTGAAATTTCTAAACAAAGCCAGAGAGCCCAGCCCAACCTCAGCTTGAGCCTTATTAATGGCCACCTCTCCTGTTCCCTGGGTCAGAGACCCATGCCCAGCATCCCAGAGTCAGCACCCTCTGATCTCCCCCATTACCCTCAAGCCTGCGCCTTTCTCAATAGAGGGGCCTGCTTCAGATGTCTGTGCCTGGGAGCACGGGAGAGGGCAACTAGCGCCCTGTGGACGCAAGACTGACCCAAGCTTCCTGCCAAGTCACAAAGGCCGAGCAGGCTCTCCAGCAGTCTAGAACAGCTGCGATGCCAGTCTGAGAGCAGATGCCCAGCACTTCACAGCCCTTCCTCAAGACAGGAGAAAAATGATCCCTTCAGAGAAGTGAAGGCTTCAAACAGGACATGGTCAGAAGCTGTTAGCATCAGTGTCACAGCTAACTCAGAGTCCAAGGGCTTACACTCAGATTAAAAACCCACAGGCCCCTGCAGATCCAGCGCTGGCCTGTGATCTCTGGGCTGCCAACCCACAGCTTTCCCAGGGACTGCACTGGGAGAGGAAGGGGCCGGGATGCCAGCCAGTTCAAGTTACTGTGCCAGGTCAAGTTACTGTATGGCAGATGCTCCTTGCTTATAGGCATTGCAAAGCAACAAGGATGTGTTACAGGAGACAGGGCAAGAGACCTGGAACAGGGGTCATACTGTGAGAACTGGAAGAGAAAAAGGCACCAAGGGTCCCTGCTTCAGATACCAGGTGCTTGGGTCCAGAGAGGTTTTGGAACAGCCCATGCAGCACTGTACCAGGGGCCTTGCTTGAGAGAGGGGAGGCGGCCTTGTGGGTAAAACACAAGGCTGGGTCTCAAGAGACCTCAGTTCAGCTTCTGAGTCTGCCTCAACCTCCCTGGGAAAGCCCCTGCATTACTTGGGGCCTCAGCTCTCCCCCTATAGAATGGGAATCCCAGTCCCACCTGCCCTGCCTGGCCTGTCCAGATTGCTGGCACTGGAGGACTCCTAGTTTATGCACCTACATGAACCAGCACAAGCTCCATTCTCAGCTGGAAGTTCAGCCATTCCAATATGGCAGCATAGCTTTCAGGCCCTCTTGCTTCTCCCCTCCTATAGGTAAGCACCAAACCACGAAGAATCTTCCAGGATGACTCCAAATTTTGCCTTGGCACAGCTCCTCATCCAGGACTAGGACTGCAGCTGTGTAGCTGTACAAATGTGGGCTGCTAGTCATGCAATTAGCACACATGCCATAGCAGCTTTTGCAAACACGATACCAATTGCACCCCACCCCCTCCAGGCCAGCTGCAGACTTCACTCCTCTGCCACGAGATGGAGGACAGCTCTTTGCTGTGGTTCAAACACCCACAATGCAGGCAGTGCACACTGACAAGCAGCTGTGTAGTGAGCAAGGGGCATCCACAGCCACAGGCTGACCACCACCATTCCTCCCATCTGTCTGCACAACCCCCGGTCAGGTGAGCGAGAGAGAGAGAGAGAGAGAGAGAGACATCCTTTTATGTACTCAACCAGTGCCGGGCACAATGAATTAGGGCACCATCGTAATAGAGGATAATCCCCCTGTGCCTCAGGGAGATTGCTACAGTGATTATTGTCTATCCTTTGTACTGTAGCAGCCCCAGCCCAGACCCCACTGTACTAGGCACTGTATGCACATGCACACACGCATGACAGGAGGGTCAGTGCCACAGAGCCAAAACTCTACCCCATCCTGTGTTCTGCTTCAACAACTGGGGGATTTGCAAGCCAAAACACCCAAAAGGAGCCTGGTGTTTGAGGAGGCAGGTGTCCAGTGCCTTCTGAAAAGCAGCCTCCTCCTGCTATCTCAATGCACACAGACTCTGTATGCCCCGAGACCCATGCTCCCTGGAGAGCCCCAAAGCAGCAGCTAAAGGGACACTCCAGCAAGCTGTTGCAATCTGAGGCAGAAGCATATGCAGGCTGGGCTGTACAGTGTCAGGCAGGTCCAGAGTGCCATGGCAGATTCAGAGGCAGTGCAGGATGCTAAGCTATAGCGAGGGGCAGAAGCAACACAGAA